CTCTGTGAAATGGTATTGCACAGAGTAGCCCTGAATCCCCTTTTCTGGGGTCCCCGACGATCTAGGTTCCTCCTCTTCTGTGTGTGCCACCATAGGAAGCTGCTTCCCATGATGGCACATGTGCGAGCTCGCTCCTGACCTGGACTTTGTTATAAAGGATGGCTGGGGGGGTGGGGTGGGAGGGGGGAGCTGCATGCAGAAGGTGTTTTGTCTTACTGCAGAGAATACAGTAGGATAATAAAAAACCTTCTACCTTTATAAGCATTTTAACTTTAAAGCTGAACTCTGGAATAAGCAAATATTGCCTAAAATATTCTTACTTGAATCTCGGTGTGCTTTGTGTATTTCTTCCACATCTGTGCAGTTATTCATTGTGAACCTGTGTCTCTGTGCTGCCCTTTCTGCTGGTGCAGGATGACTGGTCTTGTATCCGCCCCTCCCAGGGGCGGACTGACCATTCGAGCACTCGGCACTGCCCGAGGGCCCGGGGTCAGTAGGGGGCCCCATGAAATGCCTCTGGTACCTTTTTTATAGGCTTTTTTGAGTGTGGGCAAGGACACAGGGGCCCCATGATCCCCTATTGCCCAGGGGCCCCATGAGTTGTCAGTCCGCCCCTGGCCCCTCCTGTACTTTTCTGCAGGCAGCCTATAGTAAGAGAACATGCTTGGTCCCTCCCCAAGCTCTTCCCTCTGCGCAGCCTATGTGTTTCACAGTGATGATGTCACTTCTACTTTTACATGGTAATGTCTGGATTTTTAATGGTTTTTGTTCCACACAAAGTGGATTTATATTATTTGTGGCTATGGAAAGGAAAAAATAAAATAATTTTTGTGTGCCATGAGCTCAGCTTTAAAACAAGCTGTGTTAAAACTAGTTAGTTCCTTCCTCTGGTGCAAGTTTTGGAATGTTTGCATTTCAGACAATTGCATACCTGGGTTTATTAGAACTAGATTCATTGTTGGAGCACCAGCTGCACACTGAAAACACTATGAAAAATGCAAGGGTGTTATTCACAGCAGCCAATCATCTTTTTCCTGGAAATGTAGGGTCCAATCAAGCAACCCCCTGATTGGCTGCCTTGGGCAACATTTCCTTGCTACAGTTCAGAGAAAAGAATCCCATGTGGTCTTGGGCAGTACTCTGTGGAGTGCACGTGATATATTTTCTGATATTACCAGAAGGTCACTGCATATTAGGCAGTTCTGCATCATTGCTTCTCATTCTACAGTAAATTATCTATGACAACGAAGAATTCACATTCTCAGGAGTTTGCATAAGGATGCATTTTCTCATCTGAGTCACATGATAACTACAGGGTGACACCTACATTAATTCGACAAGTGTGAGCAATCATGTATGTACTGTATATTAAGTGTGGTTTAGAGACTAATCTAAAATAAGCCACAATGCTTCCAGTCATAACCCTATGTCCCTGGTACTCAAGGACTTGATTCTGCTTTGCTAGATGTAAGGAAAGGACAAGAGCTGAACTGCTCATGAAGTGTAAAGCTGGCCACTTGGTGTACTCTTAATGAAAAAAAAAATTATTGGCTACATATAAAGTACAGGCGTACCTCGATTTACAAATTTAATGCATTCTCCGGGACGTTTCTTATTGTAAACCGAAACGCGGTTTCCCATAGGAATGCATTGAAAATCAATTAATCCGCTCTGGAGGTCAGAAAAAAGTAAGAAAAAGTATTTTATCTGTTCAAAACTCTTTATAAAGTGTACTTTAAAGGCATAAATACTGTACAGGGACATGTTAAAAAATTTCCAGAATGGCTCCAAAACTTGATGCAAAAGCCGGTCCAACACCTTCACACTCGACGCCAAGTGCTATCCACAGACTCCATGGTCCAACTCTTAATCAGCATCTCTGTGTCAAAGAAAACCCAGTCGGAAGTGACGAAACGCGTCAGGACATGACGTCAGACGTAAACCGGAAGTTGCAGAGCGGCTATTTTGGAAAAGGTTTTCATACAGTTTTGCCATTAGGAATTTATGCTGAGACACCTTGCTTGTTTGTAAGCACAGTTTATTATTAAAGAGCGATATCCCTATCATTGCCTACTATTATTATTATTATTATACAGTATTTATAAAGCGCCAATAGTTCGCTCAGCGCTGTACATTACAAAGGGGGACAGAACATGTGACAGAACAATACCAATACAATGTAAAACATGAGGGAATTCAGGACCCTGCTCTTTCGAGCTTACAATCTAGGAGGGAGGGGATAGTGGTACAGGAGGAGATAGCTGTGGAGGATAGAGTGGTAGGAAGAGTGGAGGAGGTCGGCAAGTTAGCAGGGGGTGGGGTAGGCTTCCCTGAAGAGGTGGGTTTTCAGGGTGCGCCTAAAGGAGAGGAGAGTAGGTGATAATCTGATGGGTTGGGGCAGGGAGTTCCAGAGGATGGGTGACACCCTGGAGAAGTCCTGGAGGCGGGCATGGGAGGAGGAGACCAGGGAACTAGAGAGAAGGAGGTCTTGTGAGGAGCGGAATGTGCGTGCTGGGCGGTACTTAGATATTAGGTCAGTGATGCAGTACGGGGCAATATGGTGGACAGCTTTGTATGTCAGTGTTAGGATTTTGAATTTGATCCGTTGCGCAATCGGAAGCCAGTGGAGGGATTGGCAGAGGGGGGTGGCGGAGACAGAGCGGTTGGAAAGGTGAATGAGTCTGGCAGCCATATTCAGGATCGACTGAAGCGGGGATAGCCAGCGGCAAGGCAGGCTAGTGAGGAGGGAGTTGCAGTAGTCCAGTCGTGATATGATGAGGGAGTGGATGAGCTGTTTAGTGGTTTCTGGGGTTAGGAACGTGCGTATTTTGGGGATGTTGCGGAGGTGGAGTCTGCATGAGTTAGTTAAAGATTGGACTTGGGGCTGGAAGGATAGCTTGGAGTCCAGAATGATACCAAGTACTCTGGCCTGCGGGGCGGGTTTGATGGTGGCATTGTTGGATGTGATGGAGAAGTCAATGGGGGGTGGTGTCCGGGCTGGGGGGAAGACAAGAAACTCGGTTTTGGAGAGGTTCAGTTTAAGGAAGTGGAGCGACATCCAGTCTGATATGTTGCTCAGTAGGTGTGTGATTCAGGCAGAGACCGAGGGGGTGAGGTGGGGGGTTGACTACATTATTTTGAGTATACTTTGTCACATGTTATGATGTCATTGTGAATCGGATATGCTGTGGAGTGAGAGGAGCCCCCCCCCCCCTTTGTGCAAGTGGACTTCAACATTTGGTAATGAGATATGAGGTGGCGGTCAGTGTGTTCACCAGCACTGGGAATATTTCCTTGGATTTCAGGGGAGCACGTATGCTATTGTTAAGATATGACACTATATGTAATTCCTTTGGAGGTACATTTTCCATACGAAAGTGGATGGATTTAGGAGTTCAACCACGAAAGAAGGTGGATTTTGTGGACACTCTTCCAAATTTTTAAGAGGGTAAGAGTAAGGATGACAGAAGGTTAGATGCGGACACATGGTGGAATGGAGTGTTTTTTCACATATTTGCACTAATTTTGTAAGTGCGTCTTTTTGTGTTGGATATCATGCATTTTGGATAACGTACTATAAATTATATTTTTTTGAGGGTATTAAGTGGAGGAAGAGGAATTTGTCACTTGTGAAAGAAAGAAGAATTTTCTAATAAAAGATATCTGCACTATTGGGTTTTCTATGACACAGAGACGCTGATTAAGAGTTGGACTATGTGTTTGTGACTTTCGGGGGAGAAAGTATAATTTAGCGTCTGGGGCTTATTGTGTCAGCACTTAGTAGTTTACCGATACATTTACTTATTTATCCACAGACTCCAGCATGCATGGGGGCGGCACTATAAACCTTCCAGGCGCAATACATCTTGCAGAAACTTGCTTCGTATTTCATTAAACCGAGGCATTATTTCAATGGATTTTCATTCGTGAACCGAAAATTACATTAACTGAGGAGTTCATAAACCGAGGTACCACTGTATAACAGATTCAAAAACGCAATGCGCTTCGGCTTATACAGTCTTCTTCATAGTATACATGGTATGCTGTAAAGAAGGCTGTATAAGCCAAAATGCATTGTGTTTCGAGGGATGAATGCCTCAGCCAGGGCATCGATCTCCAGTCTCTGAATTTGGAATATAGCAGTAGAGCTAGGGTAAGGTTGGTTATTTTAAAGCTGAACTGCTACCTGGAATTGCAAGCTTCCAAGAAAGCTCTAGTCTTATAGGTATGATATAGTATAGTTAATATTTTTCTTATTCAGAAATGTGTAATTAACACATGTAAAGTGTTACTAAACCCACAACAGTAAAATCAGTCTGTATATGGAGTAAAGTATGCTTGTTGGGCTCTATGAACACGAAGCTACCTTGACTGCCGGCTGTGGGAAAACGCAAATCGCGGCAAAATCATGGTATCGCAGTTGCCGCGATTTGCGGTTTCACTCGGTCATCGGTCAAAACGTTCCTATCCTGAATGCGACTCTTACGCGTTCAGGAGAGGGAGATTTAACTTCACCTAAACGCGGCAGCTCCTAAACTCTGCTAAAAGCCTATGGGTACATGGACACTTAGGCTTTTATGGAGTTGAGTTTAGAACCTTTGGCAAAAAAATGCCAAAAGCTCCTAAACTCGAGTTTAGGAGCTGCTCGTGTACATGAAGCTTTATACTCACCGGGGAACCTAAGCCCATTTGATTCTGACTTCTCTGCCCCTCCTCGTGTTCAAATGTCCATGTTTTATCTCCTGATAAGACAGACTGAACCCGTAGCCATCCTGCACATGCACAATTTGGTGTGTATTGCTAGAGAGGCTTTTTTTTCTTGGGAGAGTGCATGTGATCAGCACAGGGCCAATCAGCACTATCCAGGCAGAGGTCAGGGGTTTTGAATCCTCCTAGAGCAGAAAGAAAACTCCTCCTACAAACTTTAACAAGTGCTCTGCTGAAGTCACAAGACTACTCTAACTGCTGATGAGAAAAGGTATTTAGCAGTTTATATTTACTAAAATAATTGCATTTCCATGGGAGACCAGATATAGTGAATGAAGGGCCCTGGGTTTAGTAACACTTTAATTATAACCCCTCACAGCACTCCCCCTGACAATGCCTGCATCTGCTTTTCTCTCCTGAAGAATGGTTTCATCTTTCTTTGGGAATTATTTAGGGGCAGCATTTACTTCCAGGACTGAGATTCTTGGATGTGTACTGAGAAAAGCCTGGAAAAAGGTCATCTCACTTGAAAGACTTTTAGAAACACCTAATGGTTAGGAGCATCAAATACAGTTAACGCGTTACAGGGAAAAAGCGGCTGGCTGCTCTTGGTGTCATCAGGAGACTTTAGTCTTTATGAAGCCTTAATGGGTAATTTACCTTTTAAGGGAAAAAAATAAAAGATGCAATAACACCCTACACCCTTCCCAACACCCCCGGTCCCCGCTGTACCTATCCATGTGGGTGATGAGCTGTCAGAGCTCACGCAGCTGCTGTTCCAGTCCGGGGATCTGACAACCCCACTCTTCTTCCTGCAGCGTTTCCTGGGTGGATAAGGGTAATTCCGGTGCTGATCCGTCCCAGAGGTCTTACAAAATGTAGGAGGAGAGGAGCAAAGATTTCAAATTCCTGGACTCCTACACCAGCTGCGTGGCTCTGACAGCTCATCACCCACAGAGGTGATGTAAGTGAAGTATAGCAGGAACCAGAGGTAGGGAAGGTGTTGTCAGGGCCAGGACTTGAACCTGGGACCTCTGCTGTGTGTGACAGTAAATCTTCTCACCAAGCTACCTGAGATGCTGAACACCACATTGGCTGATCTATTGGATAATCCTGTCTTAAGCCTTGCTTTCTGGTGAACCTTGAACTCTTTGCTCCTTCCACAAACTTCCTGATTTAAGCCATGTCTCTGCATGTCCTGCTTGCCAGATTATTGCACCTTCTCCAGCCAATATCTCTCCCTTGTGACTCCTGCTGCTGTTAGGGTTGCCACCTCATTCCTTTAAAACTGACCACATATTAAATACACAGGTTCTGTGAATGATTAAGGTGGTAATTAAAAATGAATTATGTGCAATAAGTTAGCCTCAGAACCTGTGTATTTAATATGTGTTTGGTTTTAAAGGGATAGGGGGGCAATCTTAGCTGCCGTCCAAAGCTTCTCCACTCGTTACTGACCTTTGGCTTGTTCCTTGACTACGCTTCTGCCTGATCCCAACCTGCATCCACTTGTTAACGACCCTCGGCTTGTTTACTGGCTACGCTTCTGTTTGATCCCTACCTGCTATATCTGCTACTGGACTCCGGTTTGCTCACTTACTGGTGGGGTGATCCTGAGGACTGTGACCTTTTACTAACACGCAGCAAAACCCATCTCCACCATCAGGAGCTCTGGTAAATACCGGTTAGTGCTTACACCTTGCATCTCAGGTGAGCTCACCTCATCTGCCAGGGTGACCTGCTTGTATACCATCTTGCTGGCTGGTGGAAGTGTCTCTGCTGCTATAGCTACTGGTCTCCAAGCCTGACACCTGACCATGAAAGGTGTACAGTGTTAGTTCACCTTTTCATTTTTTCTGAAAGGTGAACTTACACTTTAACACAGATCTTCTAGTGGATTCTCTTGTGATTTTATTAAACGTCAATGACTTGAGCCCTGAAGAAGGGGGAGGCTCTTTCCCCCGAAACGCGTTGGAAGTATTTTGATGTTCTTAACTGTTAAATATTTTAAAATGTCCTTCAAGTGAGATGACCTTTTGCGCCAGGCACTACTCAGTACACAAACAAAAATTTACCATCTGACGAGCTTTTCTTGTAGTAGCCAAGGACAAAAACAGGGTCCTTCTATACTATATCTCAACCACGGATCTTTGAAGGAAAAATCACTTTATGTTAAATACATTGGATCAAACTTTTGCTTCTATTGGTCCACCGCTATCACACACATTAGCCTGGGTTCACATCCGTTTGCAGTGCAATTTCCCATCCAGGGCAACTTCATTCAGCGGTTCAGTGTGATTCAGATGCAAATTGTTAAAGTGTTTGACATCGGAAATCGCACCTGAACCATGTTGAAAATCGTACCTGACTCTTTTTTTTTAACTACACTGCGGCTAGCCCACACATTTGTGAACTGGCTCCATAGAAAAGCCTTTTGGCTCACGTGTCATGCAAATCAGATGCCGTTCAAAACGCATCCAATTCGCATATACAAGTGAAACTCGAAAAATTAGAATATCATGCAAAAGTTCATTTATTTCAGTAATGCAACTTAAAAGGTGAAACTAATATATGAGATAGACTCATTACATGCAAAGCAAGATAGTTCAAGCCGTGATTTGTCATAATTGTGATGATTATGGCTTACAGCTCATGAAAACCCCAAATCCACAATCTCAGAAAATTAGAATATTGTGAAAAGGTGCAATATTCTAGGCTCAAAGTGTCCCACTCTAATCAGATAATTACGCCATAAAACCTGCAAAGGGTTCCTGAGCCTTTAAATGGTCTCTCAGTCTGGTTCAGTAGGAATCACAATCATGGGAAAGACTGCTGACCTGACAGTTTGTGCAGAAAACCATCATTGACACCCTCCATAAGGAGGGAAAGCCTCAAAAGGTAATTGTAAAAGAATTTGGATATTCCCAAAGTGCTGTATGAAAGTACATTAATAGAAAGTTATGTGGAAGGGAAAATTGTGGAAAAAAAAGGTGCACAAGCAGCAGGGATGACCGCAGCCTAGAGAGGATTGTCAGGAAAAGGCCATTCAAAAGTGTTGGGGACTTTCACAAGGAGTGGACTGAGACTGGAGTCAGTGCATCAAGAGCCACCACGCACAGACGGATCCTGGACATGGGCTTCAAAAGTCGTATTCCTCTTGTCAAGCCGCTCCTGAACAACAAACAATGTCAGAAGCGTCTTACCTGGGCTAAAAAAAAACAGACCTGGTCTGTTGCTCAGTGGTCCAAAGTCCTCTTTTCTGATGAGAGCAACTTTTGCATCTAATTTGGGAACCAAGGACCCCGAGTATGGAGGAAGAATGGAGAGGCCCAAGGACCCAGAGTATGGAGGAAGAATGGAGAGGCACACACTGCAAGATACTTGAAGTCCAATGTGAATTTTCCACAGTCTGTGTTGATTTGGGGAGCCATGTCATCTGCTGGTGTTGGTCCACTGTGCTTCATTAAGTCCAGGGTCAACGCAGCCGTGTACCAGGAGATTTTGGAGCACTTCATGCTTTCTTCCGCAGACGAGCTTTATGGGGATGCTGACTTCATTTTCCAGCAGGACTTGGCACCTGCCCACACTGGCAAAAGCGCCAAAACCTGGTTCAATGACCGTGGGATTACTGTGCTTGATTGGCCAGCAAACTCGCCTGACCTGAACCCCATAGAGAATCTATGGGGCATTGCCAAGAGAAAGATGAGAGACATGAGACCGAACAATGAAGAAGAGCTGAAGGCCGCTATTGAAGCATCCTGGTCTTCCATAACACCTCAGCAGTGCCACAGTCTGATAGCTTCCATGCCACGCCGCATTGAGGCAGTAATTGCTGCAAAAGGGGCCCAAACCAAGTACTGAGTACATATGCATGCTTATACTTTTCAGAGGTCTGATATTGTTCTATGTACAATCCTTGTTTTATTGATTGCATGTAATATTCTAATTTTCTGAGATTGTGGATTTGGGGTTTTCATGAGCTGTAAGCCATAATCATCACAATTATGACAAATCACGGCTTGAACTATCTTGCTTTGCATGTAATGAGTCTATCTCATATATTAGTTTCACCTTTTAAGTTGCATTACTGAAATAAATGAACTTTTGCACGATATTCTAATTTTTCGAGTTTCACTTGTATGTAAACCGGGGCTTAGGCATGGACTTAGATGCTGACACAGAGATGACGCAATCCTGTAATTTCTGGTGCCTGTGCAGTTTTTGGCTTTGTACACAAATGTCTGACACAGACCAGGACCTGCTGGAGCCTTCCAATTTGTGACTTGATACAAAAGTACAATGTAGAGTCTGGGTGATCACTGGAGTAAAGAGATTAAATGAATTCCTCCTGCCTGTAGCAGACTGATAACACCATCTCAGGCCAAAGTCACTTGGCTCAAGCTCAAGGAGCAGTTTAACTACTAAAAGCTTTCTTTCTTTCTTTCTTTCTTTCCTTTCTTTCTTTGCTTCCCTCTTCCCTCTTTCTTTCTTTCTTTCCTTTCTTTCTTTGCTTTCCCTCTTTCTTTCTTTTCTTTCCCTCTTTCTTTCCTTTCCCTCTTTCTTTCCCTCTTTCTTTCTTTCTTTCTTTCCCTCTTTCTTTATTTCTTTCCTTTCTTTCTTTCTTTCTTTCCTTTCTTTCTTTGCTTTCCCTCTTTCTTTCTTTCTTTCTTTCTTTCTTTCTTTCTTTCTTTCTTTCTTTCTTTCTTTCTTTCTTTCTTTCTTTTCCCTCTTTCTTTCTTTTCTTTCCCTCTTTCTTTCCCTCTTTCTTTCTTTCTTTCTTTCTTTCTTTCCCTCTTTCTTTCTTTCCCTCTTTCTTTCCTTTCTTTCCCTCTTTCTTTCTTTCTTTCCTTTCTTTCCCTCTTTCTTTCTTTTCTTTCCCTCTTTCTTTCCTTTCTTTCCCTCTTTCTTTCTTTCTTTCTTTCCCTCTTTCTTTCTTTTCTTTCCCTCTTTCTTTCCCTCTTTCTTTCTTTCTTTCTTTCTTTCTTTCTTTCTTTCTTTCTTTCCCTCTTTCTTTCTTTCCCTCTTTCTTTCCTTTCTTTCCCTCTTTCTTTCTTTCTTTCCTTTCTTTCCCTCTTTCTTTCTTTTCTTTCCCTCTTTCTTTCCTTTCTTTCTTTCCTTTCCCTCTTTCTTTCCTTTCTTTTCTTTCTGTCTTTCTTTCCTTTCTTTCTTTGCTTTCCCTCTCTTTCTTTCTTTCTGTCTTCCCTCCCTTTCTTTCTTTCTTTCTTTCTTTCTTTCTTTTCTTTCCTTTCTTTCCCTCTTTCTTTCTTTTCTTTCCCTCTTTCTTTCCTTTCTTTCTTTGCTTTCCCTCTTTCTTTCCTTTCTTTTCTTTCTGTCTTTCTTTC